ATTTTTAGCTACACAGAGCAGAGCAGTATCGTCGGCCTAGAGAGGAATTTTGGCGGTTTGGAGGAGGAATGTCGTGGGTATATATGAGGTATACGTGACGGGCCAGGATGGAGCCCTGTGGTAACCCAACAAGTGGGGTGAATGGGTCTGATAGCGCATTGCCTAGTTTGACTGCGATTGTTCTGTCAGGAAATGAGGAGATACTAGAGGGGAGACCTATATTCATGAGTTTTTTTATTATTCTAGCATGTCAGACTTGCTCAAAATCTCATTGAACATCTAGAAGAACGGCTGATGAGTTTTCTTAAGAGTTTACTGCAGTGACCGCAGTACTATGAAGAATGGAGATTGTGTTCTGTGTGGAATGATGAGATCTGAAACCATGTTGGGATTGAGGGATTATGTTTCGTTTTTCACAAAAGTCGCAGATTCTTTCCTGGAGCAGAAGTTTAAGGAGTTTATCTAGTACAGATATGAGAGAGATAGGACGGTATGAATCCAAAGATTCGGGGTTCTTGCCTGGTTTGGGAATCAAAATGGTGTTAGCAGATTTCCAGGCAAGTGGAAAGTAGGAGCAGGAGAGACAGGCGCTTAGGAGTAGGGTGAGGACGGAAAACATGTTTTCGGGAAGATGTTTCAGTGTTCTTCTATAAAGGGAATCGAGCCCAGAGGCCGGGTTTTTACCTGGTTATCAGGCATACTGTATCTCTGAGAGGACGAATGGGGCAATGAGGCAGTTATCAACATCCAAAGGTGGGACTGGAGCGAAAAATGTCTAAAGGACGTTGTGATTGGTCTCGTATCTCAATTGGTTGTCAAAGTAGGGGATGTCAGAGTTCTGAATATGCGTGTTTTGTGAGCTAGGACTTTTTTGTCGGGGATCGTGTGGGTTACATTTCGACATTTCGACGTGGGAGTGAGTTTTGGATTTTTGACCAGTGATATGTCGGTCTCTATGACCAAAATTAGAGATGGCATTGATCCATTGTTGTTGATTGTGTATGTTAGTTTGAAACCTAATCAGGGTGTTGAGACGGTTCCATTCGATTTTAATGACAGGGTCGTGTATACGGACCTATTGTCTCTACAATCGGCGTTTTTGGAGAATGAGATTTATGATGAATTGGGGGAGGGCTTTTTGTGATGTGTTGATGGAAGTAATTAGGGCTGAAGTTTCGACGGCGTGGGAGATGGTGGTTTGGACTTTGGTTACCAGTATATCGATATCCTGCGGGGAATTGAGCGGGTCTTGCTCTTGAATATATGCAGAGATCGTTCTCTGAAATATTGGCCAATCTGATCTTTTGAGATTTTGGAAGGTGTATATTGTAGCTCTTGGTGGAGTGGGGAAAAATAGAGATGTATGTAAACATCGATGGAGTATGATCGGAAGTAAATTGTCTCTCCAATGAAGCATCTATCAGCAATCAGTCCGGTACAAGAATCTGTCAAAAAGGTGTGGTCGATAATAGATTATCCTAGGTGAGATATAAAGGTCGGAAGTTGGTTTAAAACTCTGAATATGGGGTAGTTGATGTAGTATTATAACATGTTTGCAAAACTGTTGAATTGTCAACGTCAACGTTGATCTGAGAGAAAATAATTAAGAGTGAAACTGATAGGAGTTCTTCGTTTGAAACAATTATTAATAGGTTTTTATTCCATTATAGAAATTCACTCTAGCAAGGTTAGTATATAAAAATAAAGTAAGAAATGAATTTGATCTATTAATTGATAGTTAAAGTCAGAAAGATGGGAACGTTAGAAAGAATTATAGAGGGTATAGAGAAGATAAATTTTTAGAAGAGCAAGAGGTGTAGTGTAGAGATTATAGGCAACCTAATAAAAAGGGCTGGGTTAAAGCTGTTATTGATGAAATTTTAGGAGATAGAATTTATCTTGTTTGGAAAAGACATGTCCATCAAATTGTCAAATCAAAGGCTGATATTAATCTTGAAAATAAACAAAAAAAAAAACGGAAGTAGCAATTTATTTGATACGTCTTCTCCACCGTTTGAACAACAGTTAGGGCAATGTAATGTCAGTGGTAATGAGGTTATTAAGATTGATTCTAAGTCAAGTGAAAATATTCTCATTCCTGCTGACAAGCCTAAAATAGATGATACGGTGCTAGTTTGTGAAAGTTCGGAAAGAAGTGTTATTCCGGAGGTTACGGAATCTAGTGAGAAGTCAATTGATGTGGGTGAAACTACGCGTCCACGTAGATTAATAAAACCTCCGGATTGACTAAATCTGTGAGTGAGGGTATTGTAGTATCGTAACATGTTGGCAAAACTGTTGAATTGTCAACGTCAACATTCATCTGAGAGATAATTTTACCTGAGAGGTTGTAATGTCCAAAGCAATTTTGGGATATATTTTTATGGACTGTTTGAAACCGAGTAAAGCTGGGTGGTCGTTTAGACTTAGTGTCTAGTAATGATAAAATTTGTAGATTTATCTGAATTTACAAGATTTTTGATTAAGGGCCTCTTCAGAGCGAAATCGGGGTTTACTGTGAAAATAGCTAATTTCCATGATCAGTGATGGTACATGAATGGCTGAAGATGGCCGGGATTAGCGAACTCAATAGTTTGGCTAGAAATTCTCGTCAGTTTGGGTCGAGAATATTTGAATATAAATTTTGCGCTTTGATGTCAGTTCAAGGGGAGGGGGGTTGGAGGGTGACAGGAGCTACCTGTTCGGGCTTTTGGGTGATTTTTGTCGTTCTGGGCATGTGATAGAGTAGGCGGAGTGGTTGCCGCGGCATATTCTAAAGTTGAATGTCCAAGACCGGTGCAACTGGTGCAATATTTAGGGATAGGAGGCAGGGAGTTTTGGTTAAAGGACTTGCAGGGGTATTTTAGACCGAATATGCCGAAACCCTCTCTGATTAAATATGAATAGTGTGACTCTGAGGGAGTCAACATCCTAATGAATAAAATAAATTCCTGCGTTTTTTCAGGAGCGCATTTTCCATGCCTTAGTATAGGAAACGCTTAATTCTTCGAGAGTCGCTTGAATTTCCTCTAAGGTTATGTTCTTGTAAATCTGGCGGATGATAAAAGAGAATTGGGGGAGGGGAGTTCTGGTTGTTTATGTGTTTGAGATTGAGAATATCTTTGCTATCCGCCATCTGTTGTCGAATGAGTGTCTGGAAGATTTTGTGGATGTGGTCTTAATGAGTGCGGTCCTGTTGTAGTTGGCTTTAACGTATGTTAGATTGTGTCGAAATAATTAGTTTGCTTTAGAATGTTGTAGAGGACTTTTTGTGTTGTATATGCGGTTGATATGTTGCTTATGACGTATTGTGAGTGGGCGATTTCAGGGGATTGATGTTGTCTGTCGGTTTCTTCGGTAGGGATGTCAGTTGGAGGTGAGTTTTGGATTTTTTGGGGGTGTAGGGTTTGTACTGTCATAAAGACGTTAGGTGTAATGGCCGTATCCATTAAAGAGGGGTTTTTGGGGAGGTGGAGGAGGCGCTAGACATTGATTTGGGGGAGGAGGGACAAATGGTGGCTGTTCATCATGATGGTGGGCCATAGTTTGTTATTTTGTTTTAGTATTTGGAAGTACCTGATCCTACTAGTGGATGGCAGCCTCACCACCCATGGGCTATAACCCCAGCAATATGTCGGCTTGACACTATTAGTATGATGTTTGTTAATTTAAAAATAATATTTTCTTACTCTTTTGGTCCTGTTTTTTTTCTAATTAATGACACTTACTGAAAGAAACGGGTTAGTGTGTCAAATATAAATCAAAATGTAAATCTAATTCGAAGAATAATTCGCTAGGCGAATAATAGCCTTTCTTAAGAAGAATTTCTAAAAAGAAAATTTTCCAAAATAGAGCTAAATTTTCATTATCAAGATCTTTTTTTTCTAGGGTTTATATTTTTCTAATTGGAAATATTTCTGAAAGAAATAAACCAAAAATACTAAATATATTCGTTGGTGCAGGTCGCTCGAGCTTCAGTGGCTTTTTGTTTTAGTGTGCTTACGCAGTGGTTAATCCAAAGTTTCTGTTTGGCTTCCACTAGTTCTCGTCCGTTTTCTCATTACAGTAATTTCCGTACCGCTGCTGAATCTTGAATGAATGTTCAGGTAGTTAAGAGCTGCTGCCACCGAATTTACCTATCGATAAAGGGGCTTTACTATGATCTATGACCTGTCGGGACCTAAATTACCTACACAAAAAAAATATTTAATACATCCTACAACCATTAAATATTTATACTTATTATTTATTTTCAGTCCCCTACCGTAATAATTAATAAATTAATCAAATTCACAGTGGATTATTATCAGTTCTTAATCAAATTAATCAAGTAGTAGCAAAGAGATTTTATACATTCTAATTGATTTAATCAACAATATTATCTATTAAGCTGATCAATATCACTGTATATGCTATTATCCATTGCAATTATTAGAAAAGCTACATTATATACTTAAGCTAACTCTTTGAAGTTAAATAGGCTGTCTGGAAAATAATATAGTTAAATTAATTGTTTTGTGCTATTTATTTTCAACTACCTTTATGTCTCTTAGATGGTTTGTTTCTACGATATTCTCTTCAGTTTTGCTTACAGTAGATTGTGAGATTAGTTCTCAGTTAGGATATTTATTGTAAAATAAAACACAAACCTCTATTTGTGTCCTGGTTTTGTCTCTACAACAAATCATTGATTTTATTTTTTACCCAATCTTCTAGATTGCACCATATTTTCAAGTTTGTAATAAATTTCATTCAACAGATTCCATACCGCCCCATATTATTAAGATGTCTGTTCAAACTAATATTTATTTATGACTAACCTAAAATCGTATTTCGTCTACGATGTGAATATTTAATAATCATATTTTCGAAAGTTTTACAATGTTTTCCATCATAAATGAATTTTAATAAGTCCTGATAATTATAATGTTTATGTGGAAGTACCCAATAGAGATTAACTCTGATAAGATAATTTAAAGATTTACCATGAAACAGTAATCAGACTATTTGTTTCGACATCTCTTTAGATCTAATAGATATAAAATAGTATTTATTATCCCTTTGCCAATATAAACAATAATTATATATGTGTTAAAAGGTATTGTCTCATACTGTATACAGACCGATAACAAGTGTACAGTGTGCAAGTACTCGTATAGAATATTCAAGGTAAGAAATATTAGAAATTAACTAAATGAAGAAGGGAATCCAACGTGCTAGTAATTTTAATATTTTGTAGAAGCGCCACCATTTGAATTTATGTACCTATTTTAACTAATGCAGGACCTAAGGCTTCTTAAAATTGATTTTACTATGTAGAGCTTTTTGCTAGTTTGTAATATCTCATTATAGGTACGATGATGGCTAAATAATTATATAAAACTAGATTTTCACTCAAATCTTATTAGAAATCCATCCTGTAGTTATAAGATATCCTAGTCTACTTGATAGTTATGCATAACCTTTCTGATAGTTGTATTAATAGTTAATATACTTCGGTGATAAATAAATTAAAAAATCTGATGTGTACAACACATGACTTTCCTATCTAGTTATTACAGGCTTTTTTCTGTTATTTTGTAGCACCTCTGTAAATATTTAGAGGTTAACTCTAGGAGTATATTACACACGTGAAAATAATGTAAAAAACTCATATGTTCTTATCCGATTTTCATTTGTTTTCAAGTTATAGCATATTAACAAATAAACAAATTTTTTTCATCCAGCCCCATAAACAAAAATCTAATGGTGTGAGGTCTGGAGATCTTGCAGGCCTGGAAAACGTTCGTCCAAATGTTGCTTGACCTGACGAGCGACATGTGCAGGAGCTCCATCGTGCTGATAGTACATCTGAATTCTAATATTTACAGGAACATCCTCTAGGAGGCCTTGTAATTCATTTTGTAAAAAATTGAGGTAGTTGTTTCCTGAGAGACGATTCTCCAAAATGAAAGGGCCAATTAAATAACTGTCAACCATACCACACCACACGTTTACAGAAAACCGATGTTGAAAATTACTTTCGACTGTTGCGTGGGGATTTTCGTCTGACCATACATGATAGTTACGAGTATTATTAATGCCATCACAGGTAAATGTAGCTTCATCCGTAAAGAGTATACTCGATACAACACGATGATTATTATTTATCCACCGACAAAACTCCATACGGTTAGCGTAATCCTGTGATTGTAGGTGCTGTACTCTCTGTACGTGATAAGGATATAAGCCTTGCTCGTGGAGTGTGTTTATTACTCTTTTTTGTGGAATTCCCAATTGAGTGGCAATTCTCCGTGAGCTAGTAGTTGCATCTTCTTCTACGAGATGCAGAATATTTTCTACTTCTACAAAACCTTGTCGAGTAGCGCGTTCAGATGTTATGAAAGCACTGGGATTCTTACCAGTCTCGCACAATTTGTTGCAAACTCTAATAAATACGTTTTTATCAGGATGTTTTCGGTGTGGAAAACGTTGACGATATTCTTCAGCAGCAGCTGTAGCATTTCCATTACAGAAACCATAAACAAACACCATATTTGCATATTCTAAATTTGAATAAGTATCTGGCATTTTGCAACACTAAAAATCACATAAATTTGAAATTAAACGTTCAGTTACTGTTCACTGTACACTGACAGTTCATCAAAACGTCAGAATTATCAAATGCCTTTGAGCCTTGAACATATGGCATACTTTGATAATGTTAAAATTCAGAAGTGGAAAGCTAGATGAACATTTTCAATTACGCCATAACTTGAAAACAAATGAAAATCGGATAAGAACATGTGAGTTTTTTTACATTATTTTCACGTGTATAATATACTCCTAAAGTTTGGTGCTCTCTTCCCGACTCATCCTATATATATATTTTTCATATACATCTAACTCAAAAATGCTAAAAAAATTAAATTTTATACATTTCCTCCAGTTTTTCCATTACGGTCCATTTTAGAGAAATCATTAATTATAGAGATTGATATCGCAAACCTCTTTTAGTTCAATAATTTTCTTAAAAATCAGACTTTTTACAATTTGAAAAATTTCTCGAATACGGACCAGTTTAGGAAAATTTTGTGTAAAACAAAAATTATAGAGAATAATATTTAAAGTAACTTTTATTTAAAGAATTTTCTTCTCTTAACGTAAATAACAGATATATTTCATAAAATATAAATATGACCCTCTATAAAGTACCCCACAGATGTTCAGACTCTACCCAAAATCTAATCAGTTCATATCAGGTCGGAATAAAACATAAATTTAAAATTTAAAATTTTTTATTTATCCGTTTTTCAGTTTTCTTCTTCAAAATTAAAAATTTACACTTTTTCACAAATATCTCGAATACGGACCATTTTAGGAAAATTTTGTATGAAACAAAAATTATAGAGAATAATATTAGAAGTAACTTTTATTTAAAGAATTTTCTTCTCCAAACGTAAATAACATATATTTTTAAAAATATAAATATGACCCCCTATAAAGTAGATGTTCAGACTCTATTCTACTCTACTTCAAGCTGATTGGCGAATCGGCCTGGCGTCATCTGTTGGAAATGCCGGAATCGGGTGTATTTTGATAAAATTAGTAGAAATATTTTTGAAAAGTTTATTGAGAATGTTCTCAAATAATATCTGACAATGACAAAAATATCCTATAACGATAACATCAAAGTATTCATAAAAAAAAAATATAACACACCAGTATCAATATTATCTTTTACAACAGAAGTTTTCCTGTTTTTTCTCCTTTTGGTAAAAAAATATCACGATATCGTCGAATAAATTCCTTGATTTTCCTTTTTTCTAATTGATTCAGAGATTGACCAGCAACGTACAATTATTTGCTCAAAGTTGTTGTCTAACGAATTATGTAAGTTACTGGTACACAGGTTCCGATTCCGGTCTCTTTTCTGATGGTAATTGGATGATCATTATCGTTTATTAGACATAGTGGAATTTCTTTAGCAGCCGTGACCGACCTCTTTCAGATCAGTGTTCCTCGTCCAACCTGTTCAACGTGGTTCCATGGTTCCATCATGACAGGTGTTCTTTCTTCCATAGTTTATTGAATTCGTGCTACTATAATGGATTAACTTCTACCAGGTACCACCATACCTTCTTGTACATATGGATGTACGAATATCTCCTCGGCACCAACTTTGATAAGTTTGTTCTTAAAATCCAACTGGAAGCCATGTAAGTTCATTACATCCATTCCTAGTATGACATCTTTTTCGATATCTGTGACAACAATACTGTGAGTGAATTTTTATGTACCAATTTCTAATTGAACCTGGATTTCCCCATGTACCTACGTTGGCACTTTCACCTGTGGCAATACTCAGTCGCAACCTTGATGGTAAAAGTTTCTTGCGATTATTTATGGTTGTTGGTCGTATAATGGTTCTAGTTGCTCCAGTATCCACCAACAGTGTAAATATTTTACCATTTACTTCACCGTCTACGTTTACACAATCATCGCGATATTTTAAAGAGGTTATCAGTATAAGAGGATCTTTAGAATGGTTTCGGGTCGAAGCTGCCTCGCTCTAGTGTTCCTGCGGCGTGTTGTCTTCTTTTGTTGTGACCCTAGGGCGTTTGCACGAACTGCACACATATCCCAGCACCTGATAGTCTTCGTCTTTATCTTTTTATCTATAAAGCTCTTCATTATGGTAACCAGTTGGTTGAGTTTTTCTTCCATGTCTTCTTGTTTTACAGTCTTCACTTTGCTGTATCCTTCAAAAACCTGCGAAGCTGCTTCATATTCTAGAGCAGCGGACATGACATCAACGTTTTGTGTCGGGCTAAGCGGACTGTTTTCTGAATTTCATGGCCACAGAGTCCATCAACAAATGTTTGGACTGGCAAACATTCTATCATGTTTTCTGGATCTGATGGGTAAGCAACTCGCATCAATCTGGTAATATCTACTTCATATTTTTGAAGGGTCTAGTCTCTTTTCTTTTTGCGATTTTTTAACTGTGATTGGTATAAATGTTCAAAGTGTTCGTGACCACATCGCATGTTAAGTCTCTTCTTATAAGTTGTTTAAATCATCTGTCTCTTACACGGTATAGGCTGAAGGACATCTAAAGCGTCTCCTCGAAAGGCGAAAGTTAAATTTACTGCTTTTTCTTTTTCAGACCATTCGTTTCCTTTCGCAGCTGTTTCGAATTGTTTAAGGTAATTGGTCAATGTCATCTTCTCATCGAAAGTTGGGGCTTTAAGATGAGCAAAGTTTACAGTTTTTTCCAATTTCAGCTTTGACTCCACGCCTTGGCATTTTATTTCACCGTCCTTGGCCTGTTCTGTAGGTTCCAGTTCTTCTATCTTCTTTTCCATTTCCTTTATTTTCTCCTCAACGGAACTCATCTTATTTTCCACATAAGCACAAATTAAATTTTTAGGGAAGACATTTCGAAAGACACCTTTTTTTCCAGAAAGAAACATTAGACGAAAATGTATTTTCCATAGAAAACATTTTGAAAAAAGTTTAGTTTCTAATGAAGAAATGTTAAAAGAAATATCAGTTTTTAATGAAGACATATCAGACGAAACTGAAGAAATTATAGCAGAAGATGCATCTTTCTAGTGCTTCTTCAAGCCGCTCTGCCAGCTCTGCTTTCTTCCTTGTTGTCTCCAGTTCACGACCCTCTAGTTTTCGACGTAGCTCAGTTACTTTTAAATAACACAGTTTTTTAGCCATTTTTTAAGCAGTTTATTCATAATTTATATATACTCAGAACAATTGGCACTAAGTACCAAATTCACAAATTTAAGATAATTGAGAAATACATTTTATTAAGTGTATTTCTGTAACCTTTTACGCGCCATCTTATTTTAATTCACATGAACTGAGAAATATATGGGACAACCTTTTGGAGATACTGGTAATGGTATTTACAACCTTATTTATAAAAAAAAAAAAATGATTCTGGCACTTAATGCCTTTGGTACTTCTACTACGCTTCAATTAATTTATTTATAATGATTCACACTTCTAATTTATTTTACAATTAATTTTAATTTGACAACATCTATAATCAAACATAAACTTCTGTCGACAAAATCGCGCTATTTATACAAAAATGTAATATCCTAGAAAGATCCAATCCTGATTAGAAGTTCTGAAAATTGTTCCTCCACGCGTCGGATTGCGAGAGA